ACATATATTATTTTTCAAATTATTTTCTATTATAGGTTATTACAAGATATTGACTATAGTTCCCTGCATTACAGTAAACCTTTGTTGCATATCTATTTTTTAAATTATAAATCTAGCATTCTATTTATACTAAGTCAAACAAGTGGAATCAAAATGTCATCAAAATATTTGTTAGGCAAAAGTTCATGTTTTCTGAAATATATATATTACACATACTATTTCTATATTCTTTTTTTTATGTTCTTTCTCAAGCCTTAAAGAACATTAAAAAAAAAAAAAGAAGAGATGGAGAAACTGGAAAACATAAACTAAATGAAATGGGAGCACTGAATATGAATAGAAAAAGTGAAAGAAATTAGATAAAAGAAAAAGATCATCATTTTAGTTAGCATCAAATTCAAGTTAATTTCTGACTTCCCCATATCTCAATGTGCTCTTATCACATGCAATGGAGTATTTTGCAGCTACTGGAAAGAGTTGTAATGGAAAGGTCTTTGAGATATGTTGCTAAATAAAAGCAAAATGCAGGAGAACATATCTAGTACCTGTGTTATAGAAAGTTGATGGTTGTATATATACAGACTATCTCTGGAAGGACACATCAATTCAGTTCAGTCGCTCAGTTGTGTCCAACTCTTAGTGACGCCATGGACTGCGGCACACCAGGCCTTCCTGTCCATCACCAACTACCAGAGATACTCAAACTCAAGTCTATTGAGTCGGTGATGCCATCCAACCATCTCATCCTCTGTTGTCCCCTTCTCCTCTTGCTTTCAATCTTTCCCAGCATCAGGGTCTTTTCCAATGAGTCAGCTCTTTGCATCAATATTGACCAAAGTATTGGAGCTTCAGCTTCATCAGTCCTTCAAATGAATAATCAGGACTGATTTCCTTTAGGATGGACTGGTTGGATCTCCTTGCTGTACAAGGGACTCTCAAGAGTCTTCTCTAACAACACAGTTCAAACACATAGAAGCTGGTAACTGCTGTTACTGCTGGGAAGGGAAACTGGAAAGGTGGAAGAATGGGAGAGAGGAAGTTACCTTTCACTGTACGAGTTTTGAATTTGTACCATGTGCTATCAAAAAAGGAAAAAATTAAACCACATTAAACCACTTAAAAAGCAGTGATGTTGAAGAAGAAAAAAAAAAAACAGTGATGTTATCTACTGAGTAACACTCAGAGGATAACGCAGTCACAACTAACACCCCATTCCTCTCCCACCTCCCCCTCCTCTTCACTGCTTTCTTTCTCCTCCCCAACATTTATTCACAGGGTAACTGGTTGAGTATAGGTTTCTCTTAAAATGTCGCCCTGGGAATAGAAGTGCGTTTTATAACCCATAAGCTAGTTGAAGTCATTTTACTTTAAGAGATGTGTCATATCCCTACAGGCCTCAGCAAATTATCCCTTGGAAATAGTGAGATCACCTGTTCCCTAATTTAACACACATCTGCTGATCCTACTATGTGCTCAACTTGAGTTGGGTGCTGGGCCAAGTTCTTAACATAAGCTCACAGCCTTGTTGGGGAGCTAGACAGAGACAATGATAAATCAATCTGGAGTGTCAAGAGCTACTAGTAGTTCCATTTTGGCAGGGTAAGGTGATAGATGAGGCTGGAGAGGTTACATGGCTCCAGTTGTGAAGGGCCTTGAAGGCCGTGCTTTTAAGCAGGTGTGACCGTGGTTGGATTTGTAGGATGGACATGTCACGTCACTGGTGGCTGGAATGGGAGATGGACTGGAGCCCAACACAAAGACTGGCAGGAGCCTGGGGCAACTTACCAGGAGGAATCTGGTATAGGACTGCCTGAAAATATTTGTAACCCCTTTATTTTTTGTATCAGGATGGCTAAAAATGATAAAATAACATCAGGTAATAATCAGAGTTGTGTCAGAGAGCGACGCTGTACCTTGGTTAAGGTATATTGCTGAAATAAATTAACAATTGAACTTTAGGTGGTTAAACAGTTTTTCTAACTTTAGAATTTCCTATTCACTACAAGGGAAAAAAGTTGGGAAAAAAAGAAAAGCACAATCTTTTATGCTCTGGTAAAATTTATATATCAGTGGTAACTACCTGTAACTTAGAAATTTGAAATGTAACACCTAAAAACTGGCAGTAGCTTCCTTTGTGTTAGAGGGCCAAAGGTCATCGCTCAGGCTGGTCAGGCCATTGAGGTCTTGCCTCTTCCCTTTCAACCTCATCTTGTTACTGTGTTTCCCAACTCTGGCTCCACCCACACCTTTTAAATGTTCCGAACCAGCCCAAGATGTACTTCCCAGGTGGCACTAGTGGTAAAGAATCTGCCTGCCAATGCAAAAGATGTAAGAGATTCAGGTTTGATCCCTTGGTCAGAAGATTCCCTGGAGAAGGGCATGGCAACCCACTCCAGTATTCTTGCCTGAAGAATCCCAAGGACAGAGGAGCCTGGTGGGCTACAGTTCATAGGGTTGCAAATAGTTGGACACAACTGAAGCGACTTAGCACGCACACAACCAGACCATGACAGTTCCTACCTCTGAGCTCTTTCCCATTTTACTCTAGCTAGAACAGTCAAACTTCATTCCTTTTGTGGCTCTTGTCATAAAGTAATTCCTCACTGAGGTCTGCTGCAACCATGCAATCTAAAGCTGGGCCCCTGACTCTTTTTCATACTATCTTTATTTACTCATCCCACATACTATAATTACTTGCTAAATATTAATATTTATATTTCCTTTTATAATACCCATCTTCACTATTTAAGGTTCATAAAAGTGGTAACTATGCATGTATAACCACTGTACACTATGCTTGGCAGAAATTATTAAATGAATGACTATCTTCCCCTTTCTGGTTTTCTGGCCACCAGCATTCCCCTTTTGGAACACCTCTAGAATGGGCATTCCTAGTAATAACTCCCTCATTTGGCCTGGGTGGAGGACCTGCTATCATTATCACAGGCTGCCCTCATGAAATGTCCCAAGGCCATGCTGCCACGCCACACTTCCTCTCATCTACACCCACATCAGCCTCACCCTGACATTTAAAGCCCAGTGGCTCTCCAGGGTGGCCTAGAACATGCCATAAAGGAAGTGCAGCACTCAGCACTTCTAGAGGGTCAATTCCTTGATTCACCCTTTATCAGCTGTGTGACTTCTGACAAGTCACTAGTCCTCTCTTCAACCTTCAGATGGGGATGGTAGAAGTGGTCTCACATAACTGTGAGGATTAAGTGAGAATGCTTACAACAGTACCTGGCAGCAGGTATGCCCTCAAATGTTAACTGTTACCCCCAGCAACTGACGACACAGCTCTTGATATTCCATGGCCTGAGCACTATGCTTTCTGGGGTCAGGTAGGTTTAGATAGTCAGCGCGGAGAGTTAGGACCACATTGGCCATGAAAAGGTAAACACACTTGGAAGCATGATTTCTAGCCACTCTTGGTGATATCTAATTAGATCACCAGGCAGCTTGCACATCTTAAACACTGCATACTTTTCTCACTTATTTCCAGAAAGACACATTGATTAGTAATTCTTATAGAAACATTTGTTTTCCCCTGAGGATAGTGATGTGTGGTGTATAGGATAAGACAAAGAATGAGGAGGGACATGTCCATACAACCAAACCCTGACACGGGCAGAGAACCATCATGAGCACAGTGGGGATGTCCTTGAGAGATGGAATTAGTAGAGCCTTGTATTTTCTTCCTTCACAAACTGATATAAAAATATCAAAAGTAAAAATATGATCAAAAATATATTTAGCAGGAGTTGAGGTGGGCACATTTCCACTGCAGGATAAAGCAGGTAGGAGTGGTTATTTCCAGATTGTCCTGGTGGCTAATCCAGCATGGGCAGGTAGAGCAAAATACAAAGAGGGTAAGGAAGGGAAAAGAATTAAGACAGCTAGAGGTTGTGACTCTTAGATTACATTCACGTGTAGGGAACTAAACATGGTTATTTTCTCAACCAAAGGCATGCATGCAGTTTAGGGCTATTTGTTCCAGGACTCTGAGGCTGGAAGCCCTAGTCTGCTGCAAGGTCAAGGTGCCATTTTAAAAGCAGTCACTGAATATGGAGAAAGGCAACATCTTGATGAGGTGCTGCTCTCTAAGCTGGGCAAACTTACCAGGGAGAACTCAGGTGCAAAATGAATCAGCTGGCAATGAGGAAGTCCTGATGAGAGAAGAATCAGAGGAATTTGTGTGGGGAAACTTGAAAAAATTATTTTTCCCTCAGGAGCTGGCACTTGCAGTAGCTATTCATGGGAGCCTGGAGACATTGAAGAATATAACAAAAAGTCTACAAGCTAATTCTCTATTCAAACCCTTCCCCAGCCAGAGTAGAACTGGTACTCCCAAGGGCAACTCCAAAAATCACTGGGCAAATTCCACAGTGCCCTAGGAAGGCATTGGTGTGGGAGATGGGTCCTAGGTCTGCTTCTGTGTCCTTTTCCTAGAGTCCAGGTGGACGGGATGGGTACACTGGCTCAGCACTTCCTCTGCCACATGTTCAGACTCGTTATTTTGAGTTGGTATAGATGTGGGTGTGCTGGAAAGTGTTTATGCACCAGGGAGTAGTGAGGGGTGGGCTGGATGTGCTGAGGATGGAGGGTCCCAGTGACCCTCATCTTCTGTCGCAGTGTCTATCAGCAAAACTAGAAAAGCGAGCTGCAGAATGAACTGCTCCACCTAGGAGGCTTGGGTAAAGAAAAGTCCCTGTCAGTAATTGCTCAACTCTTTTCTAACGCCATGCAGATTGGCTGGCAGAAGTGAAGGTGGCTGAGGGCCTCGAAGTCAGAGTTCTCAAAAGTGCACTTTTGAGGTTAAGCCAAAGGTCAGACTGCTGGCGTGCAGAATCATACTACTTCAGATTTAAAAAGTACAAAATAGCACCCAGGCAACTTTTGGCTCCCTTAGTTGAGAAGGTCATACATAACGTGTTAATAGTGTGGCAGAATAAAGTCACTGCTAATAGTCATAAATACATCCAAGTTGGCTCAGGCATTTCTAATAGGCCATTTATTTTTGCCTTCCCAGACAAGGGAGTGACTAGTCATCTCAGAGGTCTAATTTTATGAAGACTCAAGCCCAACAGGAGAGGTTTCAGGGAAAATGGCCTGTCATTGGACGGAGGGTCATCAGACTGCACTGATGCTGTAGGACAGCTGCTTCAGCTTTCACTGGGATGAGTGGCAGCAGGAACCTTAGCCCAGTGGCAAGCACACACCAAGGGGTAACAGCTCTTATTAAAAACAAAAGGAAAAACTCAGCTGAGAAATGTGTTTCTTGTGAGGGATTCAAGGTAAGGAGGTAACAGGACCAGTGGGACACAGGGATAGTACTGAAAGCAGATCTCTGCAGCAGTGAGCAGTTTTCCAAGTTTATTGTTGGATCTGGGGTTGCCAGCCATGAGAAGCTACAGATGAACATGTTTGGGCCCAGGGCATGGTGGGTTCCAGGCAACCTCTTGAAATGCTGCTTCACCTGCAGCTCATTTGGGGAGAAAGGATGAGCTGTTGATCACCTAACAGGAGATACCAACCCAAGTAGGTGGCCTTTATTAGGTGGTAGCTGAATTTAGAGAATTTGGGGCTTTAAAGCTACTGGAAGCTTCCAAGTCTATGTTCAACCTGAAGTCCTGATTCCATCATCACAAAGAATATCCTCTCCTGTAACTTGGAGCTGAGGTACAGCTTTCATGGGGGCTGGCAGGTGACCCAACTTGATGGAGAGCATTTTCACAGACCAGGAACCTGCCACACTGCTTCCCAGACGACAGCTGACTTGCTCTTCCACCTTCATGCCTTGGCATGCTCCAGCCTGCAGTAGTGTGGGCTCCCCATTCTTTGTGATGGGGAAGGGGAGGTGCCATGAGGGGCTGTGTTTGAAGGCACATGGATATTATTTTATCTGTGATTTCTACTGACAGCACTAAAGAGTTAAAGATAGTGAGGGAACTGTACCTGCAGGACTAGAGTATCACTCTGACTTCTGGGAGCGGCCCCTGCCAGAGAATGTCACAGTGCTGCTGACCACTCCATGGAATTACTCAACACGCTGCTCAGTACTGTCAGAATGGGGTAATCTTTAAGTGGTAGAATACCCAGGTGGTAGAGAGGAAATGGCAACTTTTAAATGCAAAATCAGAAATTCAAAGCTCTCTCCAATCTTCTGTGAACACAGAGTTGATACCTTCAGAAAAGTGGACCACAGGAAGGCAAGGACCAGTATCCAGCAGTTCAGTATTCTGGGAGCGACAAATATACTCTAATGCAGTGGATACAGAGGACTGCCCAGCCAAGGGGAAGAGTGGTTAAGAGCATTCTGACAACTCGCCTGAGGCTCTAACCTCATCAGTTGCACATCATGAAATGGCAAGTCACAGGAGCAGAGGTGGCCCAGAACATCTCTAGGTTTTGGGATCATCACACCCAAAGTTGAGGATGCCCCTGACTGCCATGTGTAGAGTACTACAATGCAGAACAATTGGAAGGAAATGTCTGCACAGACTGTGTCCCTAATTTAGGGGTTATCCAAGGGTCAGACTCAAGCTGAAGCCCAGAGGAACTGGGTAACTCAGGAATTTAGATCAACCTCTGCCTTCCAGACAGGTGTCCTGTGTTCTGAAAGCTGGGTTTAGTGCAATATCCAGAATCATGGACTGTGTATGAGGTCAAGTCACCAGTCTTCAAGGGAAAATTATGTGGTAGTAATAGACGTGATGCTACCAATTAGGAGTTGCTAAATCAAAAAGGGACACACTGTTCAAATGAATTATCCCAGGAGGAGAATACAAGTAAGAAGCCAGTGGATATACGAACCAGGGAAGTCTGACAAAAGGTAGTCTGAAGCAGAAGGCAGGAAGCATAATTTAACTCCTAGGCCAATGCATAGATAACTGTACTTTCTTTACACTGGTGTCAGCAGTACGGGGTGAGGAAAACAAAGTGTCCCATTAAAGGTAGAAAGCCTCCTACAAGTAAAGTAAAATGCATATAGACCATTTTCTTTTTTGTTCCTTTGCTTCTCAACCTTAATTTTTACAATTTTATAATTTCTCTTAATGGTGGACTAATTTCCTAATGAAGGTCCATTCTTGTTCTGGTACTTGGTAATTCAGACTAATTAAATATCACTGCTATTCAACCAAGATAGTTCCTGAAGTATGAAGAGTGTTTGCCATTCTTAAGGTCTCAAAACCCATACTAGTGTAAACCTTGACTCTCAGTAATAAAATGACTATCTTCAAGTAAGCTTTCATAGTTATTCTGCAGAACAGATTCTCCTGCATTCAATAATTAATACATTCAGTCGCAAAGCTCTTCCATGTCACTTTTCTCCTATATGGTGTCTCTGATGCTGAATGAGGTTTGCAGTCTGGTTAAACGCTTTCCCACATTTATTACATTTATAGGGTTTCTCTCCTGTGTGAATCCTCTGATGTTGAGTCAGGTGTGTACTTCGGATAAAGGCTTTCCCACAGATTTTACATTTGTAAGGTTTTTCTCTAGTATGAATTCTCTTATGCTGAGTGAGGGCTGAATGGTCACTGAAGGCTTTCTCACATATATTACACGTATAAGGCTTCTCCCCAGTATGAATTCTCTGATGTTGGGCTAGGGCTGATTGGTCCCTGAAGGCTTTCTCACACAAACCACATCTGTAAGGTTTCTCCCCAGTATGAATTTTCCGATGTCGAGCAAAGGATGAATTATCCCTGAATGCTTTCCCACATTCACTACATTTATAAGGTTTCTCTCCAGTATGAATCCTTTGATGTTCAGTAAGGGAAGAGTTCACCCTGAAGGCCTTTCCACATTCATTACATTCAAAAGGCTTCTCTCCAGTGTGAATTCTCTGATGCTGAAGAAAACTTGTACTCTGATTGAAGGCTTTCCCACATTCATTACATTTATAGGGTTTCTCTCCACTATGAATATTCTGGTGTTTGGTAAGATGTGCCCTGCACACAAAGGCTTTGTCACATACATTACACTTAAAAGGTTTCTCTCCAGTATGTATTCTGTGATGGTGGGCAAGGTGTATGTTTCGGATAAAAGCTTTTCCACATAAGTTGCATTCAAAAGGTTTCTCTCCAGTATGAATTTTCTGATGATAAGTAAGTGAGGAGCTCACTGAGAAGGCCTTGCCACATTCCTTACATTCATATGGCTTCTCACCAGTGTGAATTCTTTGGTGATGGATGAGGTGTGTGCTCTGGTGAAAGGCCTTCCCACATTCTCTACATTCATATCGCTTCTCTTTAATAACAATTTTCTGATTTGTGTTGAGTTTTTCACTATGAATCTTCTGATGTTTACTGAGGGTTGAACTCTTAGTGAAGACTTTTCCACACTCACTACACTCAAAGGCTTTTTTGCTAGATTGAAATCCCTGACTTTGAACAAAAGATGAGTTCATGATGCCATGTTTCCCAGATTCACCACATTTCTGGTTACCAACCACAGACGAAGTTTTCTCATGAGCAAGCACCACTTGCTGCAAGTTTATCTCCTGGCCTCCACGCTGCCATTCCAACAGGCTATCATATTTCCAGCAACTATCTCTAGTGAATCTGTCCTTTATCATCCACTGACCCAATTCTCCTTCAGGAATATCTGCCTGGAGAATAGATTTCTTATTCATAGGTGTAATCACCCAGTCTGAAAGACATCAAAAATAAACACGTCTGTTTTATCACAGTAAAACATCTAGTTGGGATAAGAACATGACCTTGTTTATAATGCTAACAAAGAATTTGCAATTTTGAAGACTTCTTGAAGTGAATATAGAAAAAGGGGAGAAGAGGTAGATAGAAGACATGGCAGGACCAGGTTATCAAATATACTATGTATGAAGCAGGAAAATTTGGAGATGGCATTCAGAAATCACAGGCCTGAGTAAAATATTTACTTTATTTGTGATTATAGAGAAGTTACCTGAATTTTAAAGTCTCAAAAAACCTATACAGACTGCAATATGCTAACAGATAAGAAAAAAAAATGCATCTTATCTATTTTAGTGATATGGTCATCTTTAAAATAACCTAGATGTGGCCTTAAGAAACCATTGCAACTAGAGGTCAATACCTGGTAGGAAAAAAGTTCAGCTTTCAGAGTAACTACTAAAACCAGCATTTATGTTTTGTAAACTCATTTCAGCATTCAGATGGAAAACAAAAAGTTAGGCTGTGAAACACTGATATCTACTAATAAAGTTAGGACTTTCTGCTGCTGGTAAGGGCTTCCCAGGTGGCACTAGTGGTAAAGAACCTGCCTGCCAATGCAAGAGATAAAAGAGACACCAGTTTGACTACTGGGTTAGGAAGACTCCCTGGAGGAGGAAATGGCAACCCACTCCAGTATTCTTGCCTGGGGAATCCCATGGACAGAGGAGCCTGGTGGGCTGCAGTCTATTGGGTTGCAAAGAGTTGGATATGAATTGAAGTGATTTCACACACATGCATGCTACTGGTAAGGAAGCAATGTCTTCAAACCTGTATGAATGTGACACTGATATGAGGAAAATGTACCATGATGATACATATGTGAGCACAGAAAATTAGGAACAAAGCAGAAAATCTGCCAGGATACACCCAGTATGTCTTGGAGGCAAGGCCCTGAATTTGGGGAAATGACTATACTAGTCATTAGAAATGGGACTCTGCTACTGGGATATGGGCCATGGTCTCATGAGTTGTCTGATAAGATGATTCCTCTCCCTACAAACAAACTCTATACTTAGTCAACAACATTCTCACTTGGTCTCATGGTAGCCTGATATTAACAAGCAGAATTCTGAATGCACATTAGTTTTTGGTACATATTTATGAATGTCTGTCTTTTCATTTGTCTATTTAAGACCTTGTACCAAGAAATGCAATGAGAAGCACTTATTATTAGCATAGATGATACAAAGATTCCTGGGAAAGTCTGTCAAGAACAAGCCTCCCTCAACACTTTTTTCTCCTATTCCCTCCAGAAAATCTATAAAGAGCTATAATCATTATCATCATCATCATCTCCTTGTACTCATCTGGAAAAGAAAGTTAAACAGGTGCACTTTAAGGCTAAAATCCTTGTGAGCTTAGAATAACATATCTTCACTCAAAAGAATGTTTAAACACCTGTTTTGCCAAATCTCACAATCTTAAGAACTGACTTTTGCTTCTGGACCTGCTAGAGTGGCCTTGTGGCAGACCAACATTATTGCAAAAAGTAACTGAAAAAATCTGCATTGAAAAAAGAAACTGTCGTGCTCGCTTCGGCAGCACATATACTAAAATTGAAACGATACAGAGAAGATTAGCATGGCCCCTGCGCAAGGATGACACACAAATTCGTGAAGCATTCCATATTTTTCATGGAATATTACTCAGCCATTAAAAAGAATTCATTTGAATCAGTTCTAATGAGATGGATGAAACTGGAGCCCATTATACAGAGNGGGAAAATAACATCATCCAGATCCTATTCACTCCCTCATACATAATTTCTAGGATTCAGTCTTAAAGTACCAGGAGTACTAAGAAATTATTGAATCAAGATAAAAAAGCAAATAATAGACAAAGATCCTCAGAACTCAGATATCAAAGTTATTGGACATGTGGTTTAAAAATAAGCGTGAATACTATGTTCAATAAAACAGATAAGAATGAGAATTTTAACAGAGAATTGGAACCAAAGAATCAAGTGAAAAATTCTATAACTAAAGAATATAATAATGAAATAAAGAACTCAACAGATAGATTTAACAGTATATTATTGGACATAGCAGAAGAGAGGGATGTGTGCTGTGCTTAGTCGTGTCTGACTCTGTGACCCCATGGACTGCAGCCCGCCAGGCTCCTCTGTCCATGAGGATTCTCCAGGCAAGAATACTAGAGTGAGTTGCCATGCCCTCCTCCAGGGGATCTTCCCACCCCAGGGATCGAACCCAGGTCTCCCTTATTGCAGGTGGATTCTCTACTGTCTGAGCCACCAGGAAGTCCAGAAGAGCCTATGCACCGCAACTAAAGAATAGCCCCCATTCCCTGCAACTAGAGAAAAGCCTACACACCAAGGAAGACCCAGCACTGTCAAAATAAAAATAAATAAATAAAATCATTTAAAAAATATTATTGCACAAAATAATACTAGTAATGTCTTGAGAGGTTGAACATATATACATAATTAAAATATGTAAGAAAAGTTAACACAAAAGATGAAAGAAAATAGAATTGTTTCAAGTTATTAGCATTGCCTGGGAATTACTTATTTTGAATAGTAATAAGCTGGTTTTATTTACTAGACTTAGCAATAAGAGACAGTTAAAGAAGATACAAGCTCTTATGGGGGAATATAGAACAATAAAAATAGTTGATTCAAGAGAAGGCAAGATAGAAGACAAAAAAGAGACTTAAAGCAAGTGAGTAAAGTTGAAAATAAATAATAAAATAGCAGACAGCCAATACTATACATATTAGTAACTGGTCTAAATTATCCTATTAAAAACTAAGGTTGTGAGACTGTATTTAAAAAAATAAAATCCAACTATATGCCACTCATGAGAGAAATGCCAGAAATATAGACACAGAAATAAAAAGAAAGAATAGAAAAGCATGTATCAAGCAAGCACTAACCACAAGAAAGCTGGTGTACCTATACTACTATCAGACAAATCTCATTTAATTAGAGAAAAGACTTTTAAACTGTTCATATTGACTAAAGGTTTGTTCAATTATCTAGGAATATATAACAAACCTACATTTTCATGTAACATAACTTCAAAATGTATAAAGTAAAAACTGGGACTATAAAAGGAAAAAAGAAATCTCAACAATGATAGATATGTTTGCACACCATTCTCAGTAACTCGGAAATCAAACCATTAAGAATATGGTGATATGAGCTATAAGATAAACTTGACCTAAATGATATACTGAATATTTGGAACACTATACCCAACAATGACAGAATATATATATTTAAGTCTACACATAACATTAACCAAAATGGAGAAGGAAATGGCAACCCACTCTAGTATTCTGGCCTGGGAAATCCCACGGACAGAGGAACCTAGTGGGCTACAGTCCATGGGCTTGCAGGAGTCAGACACAACTTAAGTGATAAACCACCACCACCAAAGTAGAAAAAACACATGTCACAGGACACAGATCATTCAGAATGTGTACTCTGAACTCAGTGGAATTCACCAGAAATAAATATTAAAATACCAAAAAGATAGTTAGAAAATCCACAGATATTTTAAACCTAGTACATACATTTTAAAATAACTGATAAAACAAAGAAGAAATCACAACACAAATTGAAAATATTTTAAACTAAATGATAATAGAAACATGAAACATAAAATGCAGCTACAGCATAGTTAGAAGGAAATGTATATCTATCTATATCAATTACCAATCTCAAGAAATCAGAAAAATAGAATATTAAATACAAAGGAGAAAGGAATAACAAAAATAATAGAAATCAATAATTAAAAATTGACAGACCTTTATCAAGACTAATGGAGAAAGAAAGAAGGCACATACTACCACTACCAAGAATGATATTGCAATAGAGACACAGACATGGAGAACAGACTTGTGGACACGGTGTGGGAAGGAGAGGGTGGGACAAACTGAGACAGCAGCACTAAAACACAAACATTACCATACATAAAACAGATAGCTGGTAGGAATTTCCCGTATGACGAAGGGGGCTCAACCAGGTGCTCTGTGACAACCTGGGGGGGATGGGGTGGGAGGCGGGAGGGAAGTTCAAGAGGGAGGGGACATACGTATACCTGTGGCTGATTCATGCTGATGTATGGCAGAAACTGACACATCAATGTAAAGCTCCAATTAAAATAAATAAATTCTACTTATTATCCTCCAATTAAAAATAAATAAATTTAACAAAATAATGATAAAGGTGACATCAAAACAGATTCTAAAGAGAGTTATAAGATAATAACATAATGAGGAATTTATGCCAATAAATTAAAAGACTGTTCTAGGAAGGTACAGTATACCAAAACAGACACACACACACACAAAACAGAAAATCTGAATGGTCCTATATCTAATAAATACATTGAATCTTCCATTTAAAACCTACTCACAGGGGCTTTCCTGGTGGTTCAGTGGTTAACAATCCTTCTGCCAATGCAGGGTATACCGGTTTGATCTTGGTCCCAGAAAATCCCATATGTCTTCAAGCAACTAAGCCCATGTACCACCACTGCTGAGCCTGTGTTCTAGAGCCTAAGAGCCACAAGAGAGGCCACTGCAATGAGATGAGAGGCCCAAGCACCACAATGAAGAATAGCCCCCACTGGCCACAACGAGAGAAAACCCACGTTCAGCAGTGAAAACCCAGCACAGCCAAAAATAAAACAAATAAAAATTAAAAGAAAAAATTCTCATAAAGAAATTTCCAAGCAGATGGCTTACTAGTGAATTCTTCTAATCATTTAAGGAAGTCCAATCTGTATACAAATCGGCCAATGGGACAGATTATACATACAGAATCCGACCTATGCACATGTAGTCCCCATATGTATGACAAAGGTAGGTACATTGCATACAATGAGGAAAAATATAGTCTTTCAGTAAATGATCCTGGGTCAACCGAATATCTTATGGAAAATGTGGAAAATAAATCTTCCATAGAGGAAAACACAGAAGATCTCCATGACTTTACATGTCTTAAGTAGAACACAAAAGACATTAACTATAAGCGGGGAATACCCTGATTAATTGGACTATCCTAAAAATTTAGTACTTCGGTTTATCAAGTAACACCATTATTTCAGATGTGAAATAATATTTACAATATAGCTATATGACAAAGGAACAAACCCAAATAAGCAACCCTACAATATATCAATGAGGAAAGATTAGCCAACTAAATAGAAAATAGGGGAAAGACTTACAGAAATTTTACAGAAGAGAATATTAAATGATTAATAAAAAAGTTAAAAGATGATCAACTTCAGTCATAAGTTGAGATATAATGAGATACTCCATGTATCTTCTAGAAGGGTGAAAATATTTAATGACAATACTAAGTATATAAGAGGATATGGAACCCTCATATCTTGCTGGCTAGAGTATAAACTGCTATAACCACTTGAACTATTTGGTTTAAGTCTATTAAACTTGCATAGTCATGAACTTAGTACCCCTAGCTATATGCTCAAGAGAAATGTATAATGTACATTCTCTAAAACATGTATAAGAAAGTTCATAATAGTTTCAGTACTACTGATAGCTCCAAGCTAGAAATAAAACAGAGGTCTAGCAATAGTAGAATGTACAAATGGTGGTAGGTTAATGCAGTGAAATATCTTACTTCAATGAGAATGAACTAACTACTGCTACATATGACAACATGGATGAATCTCAAACATACACCATGGAAGGTAAGAAGCCAGACACAAAAGAGTAGACATGTATGATTCCATTTATTAAACGGTTTAAAACAGGCAAAGCAAAGCTATGGTCAAGGCAGTAATGATCTCTAGGACAAAAGAAATAGAGAGGATAGGAGGGGGTTTCTGGTATTTGAGTAACATTCTATTTCTTGATATAGGTGCTGGTTATACTTATACTTTTTATAGTAATTATATTGTAAAAATTACACTTGTAATTTATGTATTTTCCTGTGTCAGAACTACTTTAATAAAAGTCTACCTTAAAAAATCTGGGAGCAGCTTTCAAAAATAATAACAATTATAAATAATAATAATATTCTGGTTCAATAAAAACAATTGTCAACCTTCCTTTTTAGCAGCTATTAGACAGCTATGTCTATTTAAAGCCTTTTCTTGATTGTGATAATTAAAACTTACCACCTATATATAAGAGGAAATTGGCTTTTTAATGTTTTGAGTTTCAGGAAAACACTCATCTAATTGTGTATCAACCGGGGGTCAAACACACTTTGGTTCTACCACACTAAAGATGAACTGAGATGGGGAGAGACTGGATCCTCAAGTCAGTTCTCACTGGGGCCCAGGTCACTTCATGGAGGCTGAGTTAGGAGCAATACCCACAGCTGCGTTGGCCCAAATTAAAAAAACAAAGTATGGTTTTAAACAATTAATACATAACTTGAGAGTATCAAGCAAGGCATGCAAGTAGTATGATCCAAACCCTATGCAACATAGTCAAGAGGTCACACCCAGAGAGGGACCAGAAACTGACCGAATTTCCTCCAAATCATCAGAAGTTTCAAGACCTGGCACCATCAGGTACATCTGGCAGTGGCAGTGGGTTAAATAAGGAGTATTGGTCAGTTTGTGTGTGTTAGTTGCCTCAGTCGTGTCCAACTCTTTGCGACCCTGCGGACTGTAGCCCACCAGGCTTCTCTGTCCACGGAATTCTCCAGGCAAGAATACTGGAGTGGGTTGCCATTCCCTTCTCCAGGAGATCTTCCCAGCCTGGGGATTGAACCCAGGTCTCCTGCATCGGAGGCAGATTCTTTACTGTGTGAGCCATGAGGAAGCCCAAGGTCAGTTCAGGAAGACTTTGTTGCCCCCAGGTCTTCCCCAACTCAGAGAAGCGAGAGAGCTTCTCTCTCCAACTGCGGAAAACCTCTTTAAAAGAGGTCTGTAAGCAATCAAAGAGAAAATCCGAGAACACAGTGCCTATAAAGGGAGATGAAAGTGTTTTTGAAAATCATTATATTTAGAGGTAAAATATTTTAATTGTAAAATGTGAATAAGAGCTTACAAATAACACATGAGTTCTTAAAAAGGATGGCAGAATTTGAAACCTCAACAGAGAATTCCCACCATAAACAATTGGAAAACCAGGGAAAAAAGTGAAAAAAAAAACAACTATTTTTAGGCAATGGATAAATGACAGGGAAAGATTGATTAAGATATTTTTAAAATCTCGATAGATGAAATGGAAGACACCTGTCAAAAAGACACCTGTCAAAACTGAATAAACCAGTAGAACAAAAAAATCCATAAAGATGGAAATTTTAACAAAAAGTTAAAATTACAAGACCAGTCCAGGAAGTATCAGGCATACCATCAAGAGAAAATAGATAAAGCTAAAGGTGGAAATTAAAAAATACTAGAAGAAAATGTCCTAGATCCACAGGGCAGAAATTCAGATGGAAGGCTTGCCAGTGCTTAATGGATCCAAGTATAGGACCAAAACAGGGTCCATCACTGAGAAACACTGGAGTAAATGCGGGCATCCTGCAAGCTTTCAGAGAGGAAAAATGGATCACACACGATGAAGAACCTGAATGATTTTGGATTTCTCAATACCAGACTGAAGACTAGAAAATACTAGAGCAATGTCTTCAGAATTCTTAAGAAAAAAAGATGTCCAGTGCTGAATTTTACCAGTGTTATGGGAGAAAAAAAAGACATTGACAGATGCTAGGTTACCAAAAACTTATTCCCGTGCATCCTTTCTTTGGAAGCTACTGGAAGACATGTGCCACAAAAGGAAGAGAGAAGCCAAGGAAAAGGATGACGTGGGACATGCGGGCCAGGAAAGATGGGATTTGCAGGAGGATGACAGCTAAGGACCTGCTAGAACAGAGCAGGTCAGATTGCTCCAAAAGAGAATTTTCCAGGAAAATGAGATTGTTAGGATGACTGCTGACCTAAAATTCTTGAGAAGAGATGCAGACGAGAGAAAGTCTGAGATTAAATTAAACTAAATGAACCCCATGAAAGACTGCTTAGGAAAGCAAAGGCAAAAGTCAGGATTACTACATGCATCAGCTGGGAACAGCGCTTCAGAATGTCATCACTGACTATTTCTCTGACCAAAAACACACTATACTGGGAGGACAAGGAATGGAAAAGGTAGTAAGATTTGTAGTTTGGGAAGTGAGTTTAGTCCTCACTTTTTAGAGAAGGAATTCAGTAAATAATACCTAAAACTGAGGTCAATAGGTAGCAATATAAACACATTCCTTGAAGACATGGAAGCAAATACACCAAATAATCTGCTAACAGGAGAGAAAATGGTTATTTCTAAAGAGGAGAGAACAGAGATAAACAGGGACAAGAGGCCATCAGTTTTCATAATGAACACTGTAATTTCATTAAACTAAATGTATTATTGTGATGAAATTTAATACTGAAAATAAAGAAAAAGAACAGAATAAACTCCAAAAAAGTCAAAGGAAAGAAATAATGAAGAGCACAATTTAACGAAATAAAGATAAAATAGAAAGCATCAATAAAGTTAAACATTTATTTATTAAATTTATTTAAAAAGGGAACCTTTGATAAGATTTATACAGAAAAAAAGACAAAGGTAAATATTATTAGAAAACAATTACGCTTTGATTCAACAAATACATAATGGGACCTGGTGAGCTGAAATACAAAAGCAAATGTGATCAAGTCTTTCTCTCATGGATATAAGGGTAGAAAGGATCATTTTAAAAGGACACAGAAAATGTTAAAATAAAGATCATTAAGACGAAGACTTATTAAGAACTTCAGCCAGTAAAGAAAAAGATAAGCTATAGACTGGCACACTATTAACTGATAAAGTATTAGATTCCTGAATATCTCCTATAAGCAAATAAGACAAACTGTAACAGAAAAATGGAGGAAAAGTATGAATATTTCACAGAACACAAATAATCAACATATGAAAAGATGTTCAATTCCACTAGGAAACAAGGAAGCACTGATTAAAATCATAATGAGATAACACTTCTCAGGAATTCTGAGAAATTATACTTGAGTTACTTGAGTAACAGGAACTTGCATCAACTATTAGTATAATTAGGACCAATTAATTTAATCAGCAATCTGGAACCATCTAGGAGAGCTGAAAAAGTATATACTCTTAAACCCAGTATTTCTATACCTATGAATATACCTAAAGAAACTCCCAAACGAGGCCCATATATTTTAGAAAGCATGTACAAGAATATCTAGGTCAGCAGTATTCAGAAGAAGTCTGGAAACAACCTACAGTCTGTCAGCAAAACAGATTTAAGGTACAGCCAGTGAAGAAGTATCAAGAAGTATCAAAGCTGCACATCTCAACAAGGATTTTTAAAATGCAAGCTGTGAGACTTCCCTGGAGGTCCAGTGGTTAAGACTTTGAGCTTCCAGTGCAGGTGGCCGGGGTTTGAGCCCTGGTGGGAGAACTAAGATCTCCACATCACATGGCTTGGACAAAAAGTTATTAAAAAAAAAAAAGCAAGCTGTGGAAAAGTATCTATAGTACAATATATATATATATATA